GAACACTTACATCGATGGTGTCACTAAACTCTTAAAGGAAGGACCATATAATCCGATCCCTAAAGATCCTTCACCTTCGGACTTGTCAAAAATAAAAACTGCGATCAAATCTTCACAAATCCTTTCAAGCAACTTTATTCAAGGTGTTAGTGTTTTTTAAGATATTATATCATAAAAATTATTATGGAATCATATTTATATAAACATTCGCTTATCCCATCTGTTGCGAATTGTGCCAGATTATATGCTCTTCCCAAAATTCATAAAAGTGGTATTCTTTCCGCCCTATTGTATCAAATTTAGGTACTGCCTCGTATCCATTAGCTAAATATTTAGTTTCTAGATTTCAACTCTATTAGACAATAACATTTACACCATAAAAAATTCAATAGAGTTTGTAAAAAAAGGTTAAAAAACATTTCTCCTAGAAATTTACTCATAGTTTCTTTTGATGTAAAATCATTATTCACCAATGTACCAGTGGGAGGTGCATTAAGATGACTAGAATACAGACTTCGCGAATTTCATTTCTCTTGCATCGAAATTGATTAGCTAATTTCTCTCACTCAACTCTGTTTGAAACAAACACATTTTGTTTTCCAAAATAAATATTACAAGCGAACTGAGGGATTAGCCATGGGAAGTCTCCTCAGTCCCATCCTGGCTGATATCTACATATATGAAATTATGGCTATTATGAAACAAAATTGTTTGAAACTTTAAACTTCCCGGTATGGTTCCGCTACGTAGACGATACTATTACCCTGTTTGAAGGTAATAAAATGATTTCTTCCACCACACATTAAATCATGTTATCCCGACTAAACAAAAAGTTAGCTTCATTTATTCCTATGTTTTCCGTTCTCTTCAAGTTGGCTCCTCCAAACTATCCCTGATGAAAACTAAATTATTTAAAGCAGTAGTTGTTGACAGGGCTTTTCACCCAACATTATTAATCAAGGCAGTTAAAAAATTCTCATCTCAACACACTAAAAGGCACACTCTTGTTTTAGGAGCTTATAAAAATTTGTTGCAATTCCGTTCTTTCCATCAGTTAGCTATAAAGTTGCACATATTTTGGAGAAATTTAACTTTCGGGTCGTTTATTCTCCCATCAATAAAATTCAGAGTTATATATTCAAGGACCCCATTCCGGATATGAATTCCTGGGGTATTTATAGGAATCCTTGCCACTGTGGTTTAATTTACATTGGCCAAACTAAGAGAGCTTTAAAATTTTGCGTCAAGGAACATGAGGCATATGCTAGAAATAAGGAAACACACAAGTCTTCTGTTGCTCAACATTATTAATCTGAAAATCACACTTTCAATTTTTCTGCTGCCAAAATTATTCAAAAAACATCTTCCATTGGAGAACTGGATTTTCTAGAGGCATTTCACATTCAAAAAAATCTTTCTGTTCTAGTTAATGATCCTAATTCCAATCCAGCTTTTAAAGAAATTATGTTTTAGTTCTGATTTCATCAACAGATGGCGCCACTAGCTTATTTTCTGTCCAAGGTTTATCTTATCTTATCTGATCATTATAACCTATCTCATTTGCGCTTCCGCAGCTAAGGATGGTGGTTCGGTAAAACCATCGAAACTAGTCCTGTGAAAATTTGAAAATATAACGTTGATTTTTGTTGTTTGACTTCTGAATCAGTATTTGTTCGATGTGTTATTGTGTCTTAATCCTACAGGTCGCTTATTTAGATGGTCTTTAAAAATAATCTATGTATGATTTTGATATAAGTATAAAAAGGGATCTACTAATGTTGAAGCTGACATGCTTTCTAGAAATCCTATTGTCAGCATTTAAGATTACAAGTTAATTATTATGATTAGAAAAATAAAAGAATATCAAAATTTAGACAATGTTTGTAATCCTAAATATAAGAAAATGAATGATGTTTTAACTATTAAAAAAACAAGGACTGTATAAAATGTAATTCCAAGTTTCGTCATACTAAGTTCCTTGGCATGTCCCCAATGATTTTGTATTTTTATAAAAACACTTTGATACGATGTACAATGCCCAAAATGTTTTTTGATACAGTACAAAGTCCGTAATCCGGACTAGTCGGGAGTTCGGCAATTCCGAATTAGGGTTTTTTCCGGATTATAGATCATCAATTTAAATCTGGTAAGATGGCATGCAGAAATTATACAATTAAAAATACGAACCATAATTTATGAAATAAAGAGCAATTATGATCTAAAGGGTATCAAAATTTACAAAGGAAAAAAGGTTAATATTTATTGTTTACTTTATTAAATATTTCTTTCAATGTAAGTTGTTAAATTGCTTCATTTTTGTGCTAATACTTTCTCTTTATAAACAGACATAATTTATTGTTCAGTTTCAAAGTTCCCTGTTCAAGTCCTGTAATTTCTGTATCAGAATACCGACTATTGTCAATCGAAATTTTTTGTTTTCATACCTCTCTGTCACTTTCTTCATTATCGGAAGCGGTATTTTCTGGATCTAAAACCATATTACAGATTTCGCCATCCATTAATTGATTAATGATTGGGGCATTGTCATCGCAATGAAAAACTTCTGTTATATCATCTTCATTTATTATCGCTTAAGGAACAGCGCAATCTGCAACATTAACTGAAATGCCTTAGAATCAGCGAAGATCATTTTAGCCTAGCTTATACCATCCATTATACATTAAACGCACATGCGTAAAGAAAGCATACAAAAAAAAAGTTTGCGGCTTTGAAGTCCAGATTATTTATAAATCATTCCGGATAATGGACGTCCGGATTACGGACTTTGTACTGTATTTTGTACCCAGCACCCCCCAACCATCAGCAAGCTAGTCAGACTGATCTGTTGGAGAGGACATGCAAAGTTTTTATTCAAGGTGTTATTGTTTATGAAATATTACATTTAGAAATTTATAATGAATTGTTTTTTAAGATATTATATCATAATTTTGTATTGAATTTTAAACTACTTTAAAATATGTAATGTATTGTTAATGACCTATGATGAGAAGAATGAATGCACGTAATACATTATTCATAAAATTGTATATCTTCTAAGCTTTATAAAAAAAAATTATCCACCACAAAAACAAATTTTAAACATATTCTATTCACAAAATTATTACTGAATCATATTTATTGGGAAAAAGTGCATAATATTTGTGAACTTATTACTCCACAAGATAAAAATAAGCTGACTTACTGGCATCAAAAAACTTCACCAGTATCTTCATTCGAGGAAAAGGACTGTTTAACGGACATTTTGAAAAAAATTCAGGACTTTTATGCTTGTAATTTATTTATTATTATTCTTCCATATAAAATTCAGTTATATGTTTATTTATAAATCATTGTAAAATTGTATAATTCAAAAACTTTATAATTATATGAGAAAAGATCATGATTTATGATAGGACATAGTTAAAGCCTGTAAACTATGTCCTGGATGTTTTTCGTGTCTTTCCTCATACTTCTGGCTTCACTAATGTACTAATGCTTTGCTCGCCCGGCCTCTCGTTTTGAGGGGGGGAGATGTAAAATATAAAAAAATACGATGGCTTTGCTCCATGCGAACAGGCAACCTCTAATTGACTTTCCGCAATTTAGGATCTACCCCCTAGACCAGTACCTTCGAGAACATTCCAACCTATTACATAACAACTACTGGTATATAAATAACGAATGCCCGCCATTTTGCGAACAGAAGCTTCCCTCTCCCTGTGCTGTTAGAACCTATGCTGCTGCTCCCATCTTCCTTTCCTCTATGATGTAATAAATTTAAAGTAATCTTATTTAGTAGCGAATACTGATCTCCGTCTGAAATTGAAATATAGATATGGAACAATAAAAAGTGAAATCCTGTGTCTTCTTTGGATGCTGCCTTAACACTCTGCTACAGAAATGCCTGGACTTTAGAGGTCAAGCCTCGTCATTCATGTGCCATGACTGCCGTATCATCACATATATATATTATCTCTCTATATATCTCTCTCAACTCTATATATAGAGAGCTAGATAAATCAGTGACTTTAACCACTTGTCCGCTGGTGGGCAATAGGGTTATGATAATTTATTGTTAAAACTTCAAAAGGTGGAATCTGTTGGATGTCTATCAGTTAAAGATTTGTATATTTTGTAATCACTGTAATTTTTGTATATGATGGAAATTAATCACTTCTTCTGGCATTCTATTCTTTTACTAACAAAATTAGCCAATTTAAATTTCTCAGTCTAGATAGTAGCCCTTTATTAGTGAAGATTTCCTGTACTTTTACTTTTCTTTGTACAATCAAGACCATTGGCCAGATATAAATTAATTTCTTCCATTTGATAAAGTTTTGAAGACAAATTTAAATAATGCATTAAATTCCTCTTGTCAATTTTATGACAGCCCACACATTAATTCATTTTCCTGCCTTCTAAAAATAGTGTCCAACATGACACCACCAACTCTCTATCTCCCCCTAAATACTACAATCCTATTTGAATTCCATTGCATGAAGTTGACTGTTACAACCATTTTGTCTCCGATTCAAATTTAGAAAACACGCAAGTTTAATTAAACTCATTTCTGGCCTTTTCAAATGGATATTACCAATGTATTTAAATATCTACATTCTTGATATTTCATTAAGTCAAATAAGAATGTATTAATTTGTACATGAGTTTCTCTTAAGTAAGGCTGTTCCACTTTTTACTTCAATCATAAATTCAGTTTGGTTCTTGGCTTGTACTTTAAATCAAACAGAATAACTTATTAAATGTTAGTTTTATGTACTATTCAAATTATTTCTCCAATAATTGCTCCGTTTTTATCTGTAGTATCATTTTACCTATTTTAGAAAATTTTATTTTTGGCTTTTAATTACTGACATATTTTACTACAACAGAATTTTAATCGGCTTTTTATTAGTTTTCTCAATTTTATTTTTCTACGAGATGATATATATAAAAACACTCTGCTCATAAATAAGTTCTTATGCTTTAATGTCTTCAAACAGGGTGCTAGAATTACCAAATCATCTCATTTTGACTATGAGTTCACCTTAGGCCACAAAATAGCATTTATCTGTGAAGCTAAGGGAGATCCTCGACCACGAATCACTTGGTACAAGGATGATATAGAAATTCACAGTCATCCATACCTACAGGTAAATAATTCATTGTATTCTTTTTAGAGAATATATTTTTTTATCTAAAATATTTTACAGCATAATTAACTATATTATATTACACAGTATTTAGAAATTAAAATTAAAAAAACAGCCTTTTTTTTTTTTTTTTTTTTTTTTAAGTACAATGCAGAGATTAATGAAATACACTAATTTATAAAAAAAAGGCAGGATTAATATCTAAAAATTTATTATGCAATGAAATTGTAATAATGCTTAAATCCTCTTATTACATGATCACATTACATGAAACAACATAGCTTTTACAAACAAAAAAACTATTAACTGCTACAGGTTTTTAATAATCAATAATTTATTTCCTAATGATAATTTATTTCTTAATCTAATCCTCAATAATTTATTCCCTATTTATGAAAGAGGTGTATTCTCTGCATTTAATCCAAAAATCAAGTAAACGAGTAGTATATTGCTCAAAAACTGTTAACATAAAAGACAATTTGTACATACAAAGGAAAAAAATTCACCCAAAATACTGGATATTTGGCAGTTTGGTTCTATTAGAATTCAGTACTACACTAAGATAGTGAAATTCACCGTTTTCTTGGCATAAAAGGAAACCAGTGAATTTTTTCCCGCTCATGTTCTATTCTCACAGTAAAAAATCATTGACTAAGTGTCAAGAGGGATTAATGATTTATTCAAACTATTGCCAAGCGTATAAAACAGAGCAACTGAAAAAGCAGGTTACAATGAACCATAAATTTAATTTTTTTGATCAAAAGCAGCTGCTCATGAAAAAATTGTCGAAAAATTGTGGTATTCTGCTAAGTGGCAGAATAAAAATCAACAAGTCATAGTTCATAATCATCATGAGTCTCACTTTGCAGAGTTTATGTGGCCGTATTAAAAGCAACTTCAGATAAATAGCAGCCACAAAATTTATGATAAATATACATAAACTAAGTGCTTGGCATTTCAAAAATGAGGGCCAAAGTAATAAGCAAGTACCCCTGTTGCTAATATCAGCATCATTACATTAGCATTGACTAAAGTGCAAATATATGTCATTTAATATTGCATAAGTGTTATCTAAAATATACATCTGAATGCTTTTTTAACAAGATTTCTTAACCACTTAATATTACTTTCCTGATGTACTTCTTGTCTTTTAACCAGATAACTGAATGGCACATAAGTGAAAATCAGATCAAAAGCAAACTGGAAATCACACCAGCGAGGCAAATGGATTCAGGTACTTATGACTGTGAAGCAAATAATAAGTACTCTGTAGACAGACGCAGTTTCAAAGCAGACTTCGGTAGCATCAGCAAATAATTCTAAACCTCCTCAATCTCAATAATTTATTTCTGAATTTTTCAGTTTGATAGCTATTAATGTGATTTCAAATACTCTCTCTTTTCTCTATGCACTTTCAAAACACACAGGAAAAATGATTACCAATAACACACATTATGTAATAAAAGTGATGAAAAATTTATATTTTAAAGCCATAATTATAAATATAACATGTACTGAGGTTATAAAAATATTTAAATTCAAAATTTGCTTTTAAAAATGATTTAATATGCAAATCATTAACGCACATTAGCAATACTGGATATCTAAATCAAAGATTTATTTCCTGATAAATATACAGAAGCAAATGCAGTGCTTAAAATGCTATACAGTCAAAAGTCTTTAATCCGGACTCGTCGGGACTTCGGCGATTCCGGATTATCGATTTTTCCGGATTATAGATCATCAGTTTAAATCTGGTAAGATGGCATGCAGAAATTATAAAATTAAAAATATGAAACCGTAATTTATGAAATAAAGAACAATTATGATCTAAAGGGTTATCAAAATAAATTAACAAAAAAAAAAAAAAAAAAAAAAAGCAGCTTAATATTTATTTGTTTACTTTATTAAACATTTCTTTTAATGCTTCGTTTTTTATTGCTTCGTTTTTAATACATACATTCTCAGACATAAAGTTCAGAAATTCCAGTTAAAATTGTTCAAGTCCTAGAAACTAATTTGAATCGAAATTTTTCGTTTTCAATAACCGTCGATATTTATAATAACGAGGAATTTGATTTAAATCATATGAAAGACGGAGTACATCGAGATGAAATACTACATTTAATAAGGAATTATAAGCCAAATAAAATAAAAACATCTGCCCTGAAGATAAGGATAGTGCTGACAGATCAACTTCCAATTCATTGCACACCCTGGCATTAAAGATGAAAGTTTAGATAAATAATTTCGTTAAAGTTTAGATAAATAAAGGATATGCCTTTATCCATTTTTTGCAGCAATTCCACTTTTTGTTTAATGAACTTCGAAACATACTTTCGCTTTGTAGATCCTTTATCAAATATATATTAGAAATTCTATTTCACATAATCGAAAGTTCAAGCTTACTTTTATAAAATTGCTCTAATAGTCTGCAAAAAATAATAAGCCGGATCCAATTTGAAGATTAAGGAACAACGCAATCTGCAACATTAACTGAAATAGATAATTAGATAATTTTAGCTTAGCTATACCGTTATACCGTCCGTATGCATTAAACGCGCATGCGTAAACATATTATGCGCATACGCGCATGCGCAGAAAGTTTGTAGCTTTGAGGTCCGGATTAAAGACTTTTGACTGTATAATATTTTTTGTACTTTTTTTTTAAATAAAAAAAGAAAAACAAAATAATGAGTTATGATATAGAACATATCAAATACTCCGATTTCAAATATTTTAAAGAGATTAATTTTACCAAGACTGAGTTAATTGTGGCTATATTCCTATGGGAAAAGATGCCTTTATGGAGATTTTCTAAGGAAAATTTGTGTCTATGCTACATGTAAAGGAAATTGCAAAACTTAATAAAGTCAGCACACTCAATCCCCAGATGTAAAATATAGGGCAAAACAGTAAATGCTTTATCATTAAGCCAAGCAGCTACTGGCCGACAACAAAAGCTAATGAATTTTTAATTGCGATTATTCAGAAAGTAGCTTAGTTTAACATCGAAGCAAATCTGCTTAAAATACTGTATTATGTATTGAATACAGATACACAATAAAATACTAAGAACAAGGCAGCACAAAAAATATTTAAATTCTAAGTCATGAATGATAAAACGTGCTAAGGCAAAAAAAAAAAAAAAAAAAAAAAAAAAAAAAAAAACTAAAAAAAAAAAAAAAAATGTTAAATATACATTCTGCCTGACTTCAGGGGGAAAAAATACTTTGCTGAATTTTGAATAACAGTTCAAGAAAGACGGGATGCTTATACACACAAACAGAATTCATTTAAAAAACTTTCATCACATTCTAAATTTAAAGCTGATGCATTTTACTAATTGATCATTAAAATATAATAAATTTATCTAAAAGTATGCTTAAACGAAAGCACCACCTACCAAATTAATTAAACCCACCAACTTCCACTGCCATTCCGAGAATTATTATCATTTTAGTTATTAATTTTGATCTCTAATTTATTTTTGAAGAAATTTAACATTTGACAGAAATAAATATTTTATAAAACTCAAAATTCTCAAATAGTTTGATGTTATGTATACAAATACTTCATAATTAAAAATAAAATTTCTTATAAGACATAAAGTAGTTTTAAATTACTTTTTGTAACATTTAACATGTTCTTAATGAAATAGTATAAATAATTTATTAATAATTTTAACATCACCAATATTTTTATTATAAAATCATTTCTAGAAAAGGAAAAAAACAAAAAATAATATTTTGTTAAAAATAGTATCAAAATATGTTTTAAACCCAGAAAAAATTTTGAAAGGATTATCCAACTGCTTTACTTCTGAAGAGAAGTAACACAAAGGTATTTTCTTAGTTACATGTTCATTAGTTAAAAAAACTCAGACATACTAAAATGGGAAAAAAAAGGTACGTTAATAAAAATTTATATATTTTTGTTGTATAAAATGTATAATTTAATAATAATTAAAAATAAAGGTACTTACGTATTAACGCAACCAGGCCAAAATTCGCATAAATCGCCAAATTTGGCGACCCTACTTACGGCAACCCTACGTGTTATACGTAGTTTTTCTTATTTTTCTTACTGGTTAGGTTGAATGCCCTGAAATACTTTAATTACGTTTTTGCAGAATTACTTTTTTGGTTACTGTACCTAACAGAAGCACCGTTACCCTCATGGAAAAAATTTGCGAAAATATCAAGGAAGGAAGCATCATTTATTCGGATTGCTGGAAAGGATACAATACAAGTGAGTTCGAAAATGCTGGATTTCTGCATGGAACTGTTAATTACAAATATAACTTTGTGGATCCCAACACGGGCGTTCACACACAACATGTAGAGCGCATGTGGGGTTCAGCCAAATGGCGCAACAAAAAACAGAGAGGAACAGCCCGTCATCATCTTGACTCATACCTTATCGAATTTATATGGCGCCAAGCTCAAGCTGTTAATGGCAAAGACGGTTTTCAATCAGTGCTAAAAGCAATAGCCAAAAGATTTCCGCCGAAAAAATAATTCTGCAACTTATTCAAATTCGAAACCGGAAGGGTTTAATTGCTGTTTTATATTTTAAAACAAAATAATATAAAAAACTGTATTAAAAATTATCTGTAATTAATAAATGTACATTTTCTTTCTATTCATACTTTTTTACTCAAACTTACAAATCGCGCCAACCTGGTTGCGATAATACGTAAGTACCAAAATAAATCTCAGTACATAACACATAATTAAAGTAGCCTATATTAGGTTAAATCATTCATTTTAGTGTGTGCTCAATTAAACAGTTAACCAATTAATATGTGCTCAATTAAATAGTTAATCAAGCTAGGAAAAAAAGAAGACAGCAAACTCTAGAACTAAGAAAGATTCTATGAGCTATAAAATTCTGCTTGGGAAAAATTTATTTCCTTCTCACAAAAAACAAACAAATTTGAAAACTAACAGCATAAACTGCAAATGATGTACTTCTTGTAACAGTACAGGGATGCCCTTAATTGAAACAATTTGCCATGAATAATGATTCTGAAATATCTACAGTTTTTGAAAGTATGATGTGCACAACTTTTGAATTATCCTGTATTAAAATTTGGATTAAAGTTTCTAACAATAAAAATGAAATGAAAAAGAGAAAGTGATTCTACAGTATCAAACAAAATTTGAGCAAAGAAAAAATTTTGAACTCTTGACCAAGTCCACGATACAATGCACAAATATACTATTTAGTGAATATAAGTATACTATGTGATTGTATTTCTAACAATTCAATATAATATACAAGAAAGTTCACAGAACATTTTAATACTTTAAGCTGAAATCAAAAGTGATAAAAAACTCAAACTGAATAATAGTAATGATAACTTTTGAAATAATTGAATTACAACCTATGATTATATTAAAATGGAATTTTTAATTGAAGATAAATAAAATGTTCATGTAATTAATTAGATTGGAGTTTGCTATCTTTGTAGAAGAATATGCATGTAAGATTTTCACAAAATAAATTAGTAGACTTCACTGTATGTGTGTATTTTCTTTCACTATACAACAAAACATGATAATTTCAGATATAAAGCGGATAGAAAAGTAATTTTTGAAAGCCTTAAAGTCAATAATTAAAAGAACTTAAAAATTATTTTGCATTCCCATAGGCATTAAAATTTATTTACATCAGGATGATAACGTTTACTTATGCTTGATTCTCTTCAAATGACATACTACACTTAAATATATCCACAATTGAATAGAAACTGCACATTTCGGAGTATTACAACTTAATGATAATAGAAAATTGAAAAGAATACTAAACTAATCATTTGCGCATTAACTCATTGCCACTGTTTCATTCTATGTTGAAAAAATATTTTGGATATGCAATTAAAAAGTAAAGTCCAGTCATATCAAGATAAAATCTTACCACTGAAAAGTCAAGAAAATAAGCTTTTTGAAAGTATGATTTGCATGAGTGCAATAGTTTTGTTACAAATATCTAAGTATTCCTGCAGTTGGCTCAGCAGCCTGGAATCAAATCCAAGAACAATCATTGTTTTCTAGCTTTAGCCTCTCAACCATTGGTTGATAAACCAGATTTCTGAATAAATTTTCAGAAGGGAAATTTCTCATACCTATGCAAATCTTCACAGTATGTGTGTATTTTTTCTTTTACTATACAACAACACATGATAATTTCAAATATAAAGTGGATAGAAAAGTAATTTTAAAAACTCAAATTCAATAATTTAAAAAACTTAAAAATTATTTTGCTTCCCCATAGGCATTAAAATTTATTTACATCAGGATGATAATGTTTACTTATGCTTGATCCTCCCCAAATGACAGACTACACTTAAATATACCCACAATGCACATTTTAGAGTATTACAACTTAATGATACTAGAAAATTGAAAAGAATACTAAACTAATCATTTGCACATTAATTTATTGCTACAGTTTCATTCTATGTGAAAAAATACTTTGAATATGCAATTAAAAAGTACAGTCATATCAGGATAAAATCTTACCACTGAAAAGTCAAGAAAATTAGCTTTTTTAAAGTATAATTTGCATGGGTGCAAAAGCTTTTGTTACAAATATCTAAGCATACTCATGCAGTTGGCTCAGCAGCCAGGAATCAAATCCAAGAACCGTCATTGTTTTGTAGATTTAGCCTCTCAGCCATTGGTTGATAATCCAGATTTCTGAATAAATTCCAGAAGGGAAATTTCTCATACCTATGCAAATCTTTATTCTCATATATACCAAACTCAAAAACCAGAAGAT